TACGACGTTTCGCCAATTCTGGCCGTCCCCTTATGATGCTAATTGTAATTATTGGTGAAACATCGTACTCATTGTAAATGTTGTGGGTTTAACTCTCCAAAACACCGGTGTGCTGAACTCCTAACGAATTGGCATGTTTTGTTTACGTACTGAACCTTACTAATTAAGCAAGCACCCTCTCTAGTTTCCGCTCCTCCCTCAAGACCCACCTCTTCTCCCAGGCCCATCCTTCCCTCCATCCCTTAGCACCCCCATAATTCCGGTACTCACAAACCGCCCTCCCCATACCCCAAACCCTATCCGCCAAATCACTTTTCGTTACCCGAATTGTACCACTCATAATCCTTGTAAAGCGCTGTAGATAACAGCGCTATGTAAATATAAGATATATTGGCTGTGTCGGGTGGTGGCGGATTTGACGACATTTATATTTATGCGATCTAACCCAAAAAACCTCTTATTATGGACAATATTGGTCGTGAAAGCTCTGCTACTACTACGTGTTAACTTGCACCTGTGGTGGCGAGGCTGTTATCGCTCGCCAAGCGCACGGCTTCCGTCGCGTTTTGCATTCTCGACCGGTCGCAGGGGACGTGAACCCGAGGTTTGCCACGCAACATTGCAGCAGCAACAACGACAATGAGGGCAGCCACACGCACCATGTTGGAGAAGTAGGCCTCGGCCTTGCTCTAGTTGAGGAAGAAGAGCACGGGGAGCTCGATAATGTCCGCCTCCTCCAGGCCCAGCTCCCTCTTGAGCACGTCACGGTTCCAGTCGATGCAGCGCTGCCACCACACACAGGACAGATAAATGGGGAGCCGGGGATCGCGTCGCTTCAAGGCTGTGTGGCAGGTGCCTCCCCAACCCCAGCAAGCTGTTAACGGCGCTGTCTCCACCGCTGCGTACGTTCAGTGGTCCCTCGGTCTATGATTCCATCGATTAACAATCCGCCTCCCATAGTCCCATTTCTATTAACGATACATTTTCAATGAACGATACGGTTTTACGATATCACACGGCCGCCCATTTCGGCCAATCGGAGCGGTCCCAAGTGGACTCAGCCAACCTCAGCTCCAACAACCCCTTAAACCGCTATCCATGTTCTTAGCCAAAGGTATGACATTTTATTGTATGCTCTATTCATTATTTATCCATTTTTCTATTCATATTAATGCTCTAATGTGTTCCTACAACGTGTATTTATTAAAATTGCGTGTTTAAATATTATAACCTATATTTTTAGGGTGAAAAAGATCAACTTCTGGTCGTCTTTTAACAAATTAAGCCTTCAACGTGTATTTCCTATATTCGATTCATGATGTCAAGTAACGATGGTTTTCGTGGACCCAGTTAACATCGTTAATCGAGGGATCATCGTATATCTGTACAGCGGCTGGGAGGGCAATCACTCGTGATGATAGTGTAGAGGTGTTAACTACTCACTGTTCGGTAACCTGCATTGCCACGAGGTATCAAAGGGGCAGTGCAGCGTTACCTCTGTGTACATAACGGTTGGGGTCAGACGAGGTGAAGTGGATCGTAGCGACAGGTATCAGTGTGTTTAACACGTAGTAGAGCTTCCACGGCCAATATCCATGAGAGGTTTTTTGTTGGATTAGATTGCGTAAATATACATGTCGTTAAACCCGCCACCACCCGACAGCCAATTAGTAAGGTTTGTCACGCAAACAAAATATGCCAATTGGTTACTAGTTCAGCACGCCGATGTGTTGAAGAGTAAACTCACATTTATAATTCGAGTACTAAAACTTACATCCTATGGTTGTGGCTTTAGCCAGGAAAAAATACATTTTAGTGATATTGCTATTGATTTAATGATCAACTTATATTTAACATATGTAATTGAAGATATCGGTGTTACAAAAAATAACCTAATGATAACATGTCTAATGAATGTAAAACACTAAAATCCCTCTTGCACCCTCAAATGCGGAATGCGCACCGTTATAACGCGGAACACTCCCGTTATAACGCAGAACGCTCCCATTATAAAGCGGAATGCTCCCATTATCACGCAGAATGAGCGGCGTTATAATGCTGAATGCTCCCATTATAACACGGCATGAGCGCCGTTATAACATGGCATGAGCGCCGTTATAACATGGAATGAGCGCCGTTATAACGCGGTTTTCTGAGCAGTCGACGTCGAACTACTTTCTTGAGCTGCATGGCTGAATGGTGTGATACAGTACGCGGAATGATACAGTAACACGGCGGTGTAGCCTCAGTTATTTATCCCGCCATGTTACTCCCCGTGTGCACATCATATCTCGCCAAACTGTTGTTTACATTTTTAGTGGGGAAATAGTTTTTCGCTTAAAACTAGTTTTTAGTTTGAAGCAGCACTTATCAGGAACGCATCTACCGCCTTAAACGAGGACTTACTGTGATGATATATTTTATCATTTTTATTAAACAAGAGCCCAGTATACGGCACGAGCGACGGAAATTATATTTTTGTTAAACGGACAGTGTGATTATCGTGGACATGACATCGTACTTTATATCGTAGCATCCCCATAAGGGGTGACCCGAATGAGCTGTGTGTGCCCATCTGGTGGAGAGGCGATGATGATGATGGCGAAGCCACTGCCAGCGCATTTCAGTTTCAAATTAGTGAACTATTCTAAACTAAAAAAAAGATTTTACCAGGTAAATAGCTCTTTTTCAGAAGCGACCTGGCCACAGAAAGTCAAGAACAAAGAACACGTTTAAACAATTTATTGAAAGCAGTGCAACATCAATCAAACACCAATATTTTAACCACATCAATTTGCAGTGGCGATTAATAAAATATAAAAGAGAAATGCACCTGGAAATGAGGCACTTCTCATAAATGTACTACTGATTTTGGTCCATGGAAGGTACATTAAAAAGCAAAGCGAATCACATGACTTGGTGGCCTGTGGTCGAACCTGGCGCCGACGTCTTTTCGATGCCGAGACACGTAGAAGAGAAGCATTTTGAATCAATATCTCCTGTAAACCGGAGTACATTCGCAGGCGGATATTGTCAAGAAACTCTGCGCTTTTAATTTAAGCTAAATTCCCAACTCTGAAAGTTTGACGCTCATGCAATGAACATTAAGTCTCACGTGGCAGAGCGGGTGAGAAAATTCCTCCCTCTGACACGTGGAGCCAGAGGTCACTTCCAGCTGTCTCAGAGGTAGCGCTGCTATATCCTCTTCAGTGAGCCATACCATTACACAAGGGGGGGTTGGTTGCACTGCTGAATGAGACATCCCAATGGATACTTCGTCTCAGACATGATGCAAACAGGGAAATTATGATAAAATTTTGTAAAGTTTAAAAGCCATGTAAAACTATTCTTCACATTAATCTAAATCATTGTTGCCACGGCCAATTCGAGTGACGCACACTCGTTACATGTTTTTCTAATTTAAACTTTTCTTATCCAATGCAAAACTGGATGTCAGAGTTAAGTTGATCCTTGGGGCTCTAGTTATCCTTCGATCTCAAAGGATTCGCAAGTCAATTGGGGGATGAATAGGCCTGAATAGGCACGAACATCATACCAGCCACAGTTTTCTTAAATGCCTTTCCCTACACAATGTTTGCAATGATAAGGCAAAAGTCTGCTGCAAGAGTTACTTGGCTTAGATAACGCCCTTCGACAAGCCTACTATTTGTTTTTAGTCCTTAAGAGCTGGCACGAGTTACCTGCCTGAAATAATCAAATCACCATACGTGATTACAGCCTGGATTAATACTCACAAGGCAGTTGCCTGAATTGAACCAGCTGAGCAAGCTATGCCAGAGCTGTGCCGAGCCAACCCTGGTGTGACTCGAGAGGTGCTGGGTTGTTTTTCCACTGCACCAGCCAAGACATGCCAGGGCTGTACCGAGCCAGCCCTGGTGGCACTCGGGAGGTTGCTTGGGTTGCTTTTCCACTGCAACCAGCCGAGCCATGCCACCGGCAACAAGCACAACGAGCAAGTCGAGACACAGGTAGACAATGTGATGACGCCGTGTCCTCACCACAGTGTGCCGACTAGCGTCGCACATGATGAACGAATCATTAGCCCTGTTTAACACGTAGTAGTAGGCTACGTGTTAGATATAAATGTGTAATTCAGCCTGCCACCACCCGACAGCCAATTGGCGAGGTTTGTCACATCAACAAAACATGCCAATTAGTTGCTGCTTCAGCACATTGATGTGGCAAAGAGTAAAAATAGTAAATTGTGGATTTACTCTCCCAACACACAACCGGTGTGCTGTAGTAGTAACAAATTGACACGTTTTGTTTACGTTATAATCTGGATGGAACACTCATTTCTTTAGAACTGCTTTTCGTGTTTCGTTTGTGGTCCTTCCCCGACACCTCCGATAAGCACGGTTGGCTACGTATGGTGCGAAAGAAGTTCAACATACAATTCTTACAAATTGGCTGCGTCGGATGGTGGCGGGTTAATCAACGCATTTATATTTACGTGACCTAACCCAAGCAAAACTCTTTGTGAATCATTGACCCTGACCCTGTTTGGGCCCGAGCTAGATTCAGATACTTTGTTAGCCCAGGAAATTATGCTTTGGTTGTGGCTCAGCACAGTGGGAAAACCAACCACCTGTACCATCAGTTTAACACGTAGGCTTTCGTGACCAATATTATTCATAATAAAGGTTTTTGGGTTAGATCGCGTTATGTATAAATGTGTCGTAACCCTCTACCACCCGACATGGCCAAACAGTAAAAAATGTGTCACGTTTACAAAGGACAAATAGTTTACTACTTTAGCCCACCGGTGTGTTGACGAGTGAATCAACATCATTTAAAATTTGAGTACGACGTTTCGCTGGTAATTACATCCAGCTTCATCGGGCAATTCGCCAGAATGGTAAAGCCCTCACTTTCTCCCGGTGTTAAATAGAGCAGCAGGGTGACGTCATCATTTAACTCATTCAGGTGCAGTGATTTCAGGCGGGAGGGGGGGGGTATTGTAATTATAAAATCGATTGGTAATCAGTCAATGGTTATGATTAGTAATGAGTTGTAGATTAGTAATTAGTTGTAATGTGTGTTATTATAATTATATGCACAATAACACATGCGGGCCTCGCACTGGCTTGGCTCGGACGATCCAGCGGAGGACGGGCCATCGGCATGACGTGGGCTGTCGTCTTCACGCCCAGGGGCTTGACGGGTCTCACAGGGGGTCCACGTCCCACCAGCGGACGCCGGCGAAGGGTGAGCGGCGAGTGTTGGAGCCGCAGTGCACCTCGCCCTGATTGAGGTGGTAGGTCTTCAGGTCGTCGATGAAGTGGCAAGCGAGGCCCAGGGGCTCGAGCAGGGAGCGCACGCGTCTCTCCAGTGGGCACTGCCCGTCCACGTGCGGCCAGAATGGCTTTGGGATGCCCAGTTGCTTGTTGAGCACCACCATGTTCACCTGGGCCACGGAATGGCACGGGAGAAATTAATAAGCCTGCATTTTAACGATGATATAAGGAATAATATACTATTTTGCAGAGGTTCTTAGCAGTCAGTTGTAGAGTATTCCAAGTTGGTCATAGAGGAGTGGGGTAGTTTAGGGTACAGTATACAAAGTATGTATGTACGGTGAACTTATTTCGCACCGTGTGTAGCCAACAGTGCTAATGGGAGGTGCGGGGTAAAGACAACAAACTAAACACAACAACAAGCAGTTCTAAGGAAATGAGTTTCCTGTGGCTGAAGTCACGATACAGCGCAAGCACAATGCGATGGCAGTGGTGGATGGTGAATGTTTACAACTGAGACTGCCACTAGTGTGACCACTTGGCAGCATCGTGAAATAAACAGATCTAAGAGAAGGGCACGGCAAGATGCCGGATGGCTATCGTAAACAAAATTCGGATATTGCCATTTCTAACAGATGCCGGTTTAATGGAGCATTCTGGATGGTAAAGTGCCGAATTGCAGAGCTTTTCCTGTATATACTATTAAAAATAATAATTAAAAAATTAAGCTTCTAATCTCAATGGTCCTCAAACTATTTGTGATGGACAGGTCACTTCTGAAAAAGAGCTATATAGATCAGTGGGCCTTACCTGGTAAAATAAAAAAAATAGTTAAACAGTTAAAGAGTGGAGCTTTGGTAACAGAGCATCCACACGCACCACGTCGGGGAAGTAGGCCTCGGCCTTGCTCTCGTTGAGGAAGAAGAGCACGGGGAGGTCGATGATGTCCGCCTCCTCCAGGCCCAGCTCCCTCTTGAGCACGTCGCGGTTCCAGTCAATGCAGCGCTGCCACCACAGTCGTTGCCATTAATACGCACGTGTGCGTGTGTGTGCGCGCGTGTGTGTGTGCATTTCTTCACAGGTGCTCGCTAACAGCACTTGCCCCAAAAGGCCGTTAAGGCTATATGGGGGATCTTTGTCTTTGTGCCTTACAAAATTGGCGCGTGATTTTTGGCGATTTCAGTGGCGATTTTCTTTTTCTCTCACTAACTTTGACGTCAATTATTTTTTATATGCATGTAGTATTAATAACGAACGATAAAAAGTAGCATTCAAAGCCATCAAATGGGGCTGTCTTTGGCCTTATGGAAACAATAGGCTTTTGTATTCTTTGGTTCTTTCGGTAAAGTCACGTAGGTAATAATAGAATAAAATAAAACAAAAATAAAAACAACTAAATTAAATCACGACGTTTTGGGCGCAACACAAGCGCCCGTCATCAGGTGGAACACAACAGTTAGAAACATCTAACTGCAGTGAAACAAGACGCTATATAAATAAGAGAGGGGTGGGAGGAGCCAAGGTGGGGGGGTGGGGGGTGGGGTGCGTGGGGCGGGGGGTAGGGCATAGGAAGATCAAAGAGAGAAAAGGGAAGACACTAAACATGCTGCAATGGACAACATGACACTAAACATGCCGCAATGGACAACAACATCATGTAGTTATGATTTTACCTGATTAATAACATATTTCCAATGATTGCTCAATTTGTATCCATCATCTCAGTTAAAGTTATGTCTATGTTTGTGTATCTGGATGGCTTCATGAACAAACCTTTCATAGTAGCCAGATGGTTTGCAGAGTACCTTGGTCTCGGAAAAAACAATATCATGAGAGCCCACAGCATTATAGCAGTGATCAGCAACTGCGGAGGAATTGGTTTTTCCGTGTTTCAGATCTGACTTGTGCTCGCGGACACGGTCAGAAACATGACGTTTCGTTTCGCCAATGTAACGATCACCACAGATGCAACTTAGTTTGTAGATTCCAGGGTATTGCAAGTCAGGAATGACATCCTTCACAGATGAGATTAGATCACGGATTTTGTGTACTGTACTAAATCGGACCTGGATCTTGTGTTTTGTTTAAGATTTTGGCAACCTTTTTGGTAACGCCATCTATGTATGGTAACGTGATGGTTTTGATCGGAGTCTTAGGGGGTTGTTTCTCCATGGTAGGAGATACAACTTTGCGGATACTACGGACCGAGTATCCATTCATCTTAAGGGCCATGTGTACATGTTCTAATTCATTGACCAGGTGGTGTTGGTCAGAGATGCAGTCGGCCCTATGGATCAGTGTTTTGATGAGGGAATTCTTCTGTGCCGGATGGTGGTGGGAATCAGGCTTCAGATAGGAGTCTGTGTGGGTGGCATTCCTTTAGACAGAATGTCCCAAAGAGCCATGGGACCTCCTCTCAAACAGAACATCCAAGAATGGTAGCTTGCCATCCTTCTCCACTTCCATGGTGAATTTGATTGATGGGTGTATGGAGTTAATGTGGTCAAGAAATTGGTTCAATGCTGGTAGGCCATGTTGCCAAATGACGAAAGTGTCATCCACATATCTCTTCCACAGGGAACGACATAGGGTGGATGTCTGGATGGCGTCTGTTTCAAATTTCTCCATGAAAACATTGGCTATCACTGGTGACAAGGGGGACCCATGGGGTATCCTCATTTTGTTTGTAGAAAGTACCATTCCAGGTGAAGTAAGTGTTGATGAGGCAGTGCCTAACCAGCACAGGGACATCAGGGTTCAGTCCATGTTGGACAAAGTGTTCAATTATTGCTATGGTGTCAGTAGGCCTCGGCAAGGTAAGGTAAAAGGTTAAAACAACGAGCCTACCTTTACCCTACCTTTTACCCTTACCCCACTTTTTACCCTTACCCCATACAAATTACCCGATTACAGGGTAATTACTGGGGTACTACACATGAAAAAGGTTTATAACAGGTAAATGCTAGGTAGAGTGCTTTATTCATAGAGAATACTCTCGATGATTACAATTTTACACGCTTTATTTTAACTCACTGTTGTTGTCCTCAAATCTTGTAACTAAATTTTAACCCACTTCCCAATGTGGTATCGACTGCAAACTTGATATACTTATGTCATACTGATGACAATACTATATTCTATCATTAAAATATATATATAAGTTTTAAACATTTTTTATGTTATGTTTCGGCTTGGGTCTAATTGTCCACAGTCAACTGACGTTGGCTGTAATTGGCCACGGTCCCTTACGTTACGGCAAGCTTCGGGGCCACTTCCTGGAGTCGTGGAGTTCTGCAATTACTCATACATTTCATAAAAGCGTGTTTTTAAGAAAGTTTTTTTTTAATATTACTAATTAAATGGAGGCCACGGACTGCGCCACGGAGCTTTTAGTGGTAAACAAGGCACCGTATTTACCGGGTAATACTTCGCGCTACCGTTACCCTACTGGGTAATTCTTCCGAGCTACCTTTAACCCTACCCTTTACCTTACCCGTTGGCATGTCGACACCTTTACTCTTTTACCCGGTAAAAAGGGTAAATTACCTTACCTTGCCGAGGCCTAAGTGTCAGGCACTGGAACCTTGGTAAATGGAGAGACCACATCAAAGCTGACGAGGACATCATCAGGGGACAGTGAAATGTCCTTGATTAGAGAGACCAAGTGAGTTGAATTAAGTACAGCTGAAGTGGTCTTGCCAGTAAAGGGAAGTAAAGTATCCGGCAGAAAACGGGCTAGTTTGTAGGTAGGTAAGTTGATCGTGGACACGATGGGCTGCAATGGGGTACCTTCTTTATGGATCTTGGGAAAACCATAGAATCTGGGTGGTCTACCAGCCGAGGGTTTTAGGGAGAGCCGTTTGACTGGTTCGATTAGGGAAGTCGAACTGGTAATTTTCTTGTTGGTTTTAGTAGTTAGGCTGTTAGTCAGATCTCTATTGATTTTGGAGTAGCTGCCATCATTGAGTAGGCCCTGGATTTTGTTGTTGTATGTGGTTATATCCATGATGACAGTGGCATTGCCCTTGTCGGCCGAGAGGATGACTATCTCATCCCTCTTTTTCAAATTTACGAGTTCAGAGCGCTCATTTTTGCCAATGTTGCTAATGGGTTTCTTAGAATTTTTGAGGATAGTGGCAATTTCAGCTCCAGCAACGTCTGTTTGGATGTGTCCTAAGCCTTTGAGGGCTCAGCATGTTTAGTGTCATGTTGTCCATTGCAGCATGTTCAGCATGTTAGTGTCTTCCCTTTCCTCTCTTTGATCTTCCTACGCCCTACCCCACGCACCCCCCCCCCCACTCTGTATCTCCTCCTTGGCTCCTCCCACCCCTCTCTTATTTATATAGCGTCTTGTTTCACTGCAGATTTCTTGCCCAGTTCAGCAGTTGTTTCTAACTGTTGTGTCCCACCTGATGACGGGCGCTTGTGTTGCGCCAGAAACGTCGTGATTTAATTTAGTTGTTTTTATTGTTGTTTTATTTCATTTTTTTATCTACGTGACTTTACCGAAAGAACCAAAGAATATGGATCCTTGCAGTCACGAAAACTTAAAATCTAGAATAGGCTTTTGCTCATGAAACGGATATACGGTGAAGTCCTCGCTTAACGCGTGTTCACACAGCGCGTTCCTCGCTACGAGAGTTCTGCGAGGGAGCACTCTCGCACACAAGCGGAACGCGCCATGCAACAACGCTGGCTGCTCTCAGTTATAACGTTGGCCGCTCCCCATTATAACGTGGACCACGCCCCGTTATAACGTGGTTCCTGAGCGGTCGACGACGAACTACTTTCTTGAGTCGCGCGACTAAGCGGTATGATACAGTAACGCGGAACAATACAGTAACGCGACGGCGTACCCTCAAATTAGTTGTATGTCCTACCATCGGATGAGTTAATTATATAAACGTGATTCAGTCGGTTAATTCCTCACTTAATGCATTTACACTGAACGCAGCACTTTTCAGGAATGCATCTACCGTGTAAACGAGGAATTTCTGAACACGAATGAATCCCACCCCCTGCACGAGGCAGGTGTTTGAAGGACACCCTAAAATCGTGTGTGTGTGTGCTTATCTCTGGGTATCAGTGTGTGCGTGTGTGGTTATCTCTGGGTATCAGTGTGTGTATGGTTATCTCTGGGTATCAGTGTGTGTGTGTGTGGTTATCTCTGGATATCAGTGTGTGAGTGTCTGTGGTTATCTCTGGGTATCAGTGTGCGAGTGTGTGGTTATCTCTGGGTATCAGTGTGTGTGGGTGTGGTTATCTCTGGGTATCAGTGTGTGTGTGTGGTTATCTCTGGGTATCAGTGTGTGTGTGGTTATCTCTGGGTATCAGTGTGTGTGTGGTTATCTCTGGGTATCAGTGTGTGTGTGTGGTTATCTCTGGGTATCAGTGTGTGTGTGTGGTTATCTCTGGGTATCAGTGTGTGTGTGTGGTTATCTCTGGGTATCAGTGTGTGTGTGTGTGGTTATCTCTGGGTATCAGTGTGTGTGTGTCTGGTTATCTCTGGGTATCAGTGTGTGTGTGTGGTTATCTCTGGGTATAAGTGTGTGTGTGTGGTTATCTCTGGGTATCAGTGTGTGTGTGTTTGGTTATCTCTGGGTATAAGTGTGTGTGTGTGGTTATCTCTGGGTATCAGTGTGTGTGTGTGTGTGGTTATCTCTGGGTACCAGTGTGTGTGTGTGGTTATCTCTGGGTATCAGTATGTGTGTGTGGTTATTTATGGGTATCAGTGTGTGGTTATCTCTGGCTATCAGTGTGTGTGTGTGGTTATCTCTGGGTATCAGTGTGTGGTTATCTCTGGGTATCGGTGAGAACAGGTCCACCTCTGGGTGAATACTGTACCTGCACATTATTGTTTTCAGTCGTGATGTTTATGTCATCGAGGATGTCCTGAATCTTCATCTTGCGCTCCAAGGATGAGACAACTGTGGGGGGATCATAGATGGGAAGAGGGTGATCGCGATAGAGGAGATGTGGGAGGTCAGAGGTTAGGTTTCATTGCTTACAGCATTGACTACAACTAGCATTACTGCCTGTTGTAATTACAACTAGCAGTAACTACAACTAGCAATGGTGAAACGTCATACTCAGATTGTAAATGTTGTGGATTTGCTCTCCAACACACCGGTGTGCTGTGCTAGTAACAAATTGGCATGTTCTGTTTACGTGACAAACCTCAATAATTGGCTACGTCGGGTGGTGGCGGTTTTAACGATACATTTATATTTACGCGATCGAACCCAAAAAATCCGTATTACGGATTCTGTTCAATGCAAAACCGGTACCAGTTCTCGGTGCAAATCAATCGCTGCCACCCAAAGAGAGATGCCAATTTCCTGATTGTCCAACTGAAACCCAAGACATGTGGCAGCCCTGACTTTATAATGCCATCCAATGTTTGGTGCTTTACAGTTATATTTCTTGGAAAGGCAAGGATATTTTCCCAAAACGTATTTTTTCTTTCTTTGCAACTCACCAGATGGAAGTCTTTACAAAAGGGTCGGTGCCTCATTTTTCTCTTCTAGTCAATCATGACCCAGAACTTTTATCAGTATTAGAATACAGTCTAGGAAAGGCCTAAGGCCCAATCCACCACGTTTCCATTTTGCCTGCTTTCAGATGCCCTCAACTAGCAGAAGACGAATATGTACCTGCACATTAAAGCTAAACACAAATACGTAGTCGTCCAATGTGCGGGACACCGCTTCATTTAATACCTAGGATCTTGCGCTGCCAACTGCAGCTTCAGCGTCGATGTTTATAAATCTTCAACCTGCACATTTAGTGACGAGCTCACCGTCTGGGCAGCTCTCAAAGAGGCGCCTCTGGCCGTGGCCCTGCTGGTGCAGCTCCTTGAGGAGACGGAGACACGCGTTGGGGCTCGCGAGCAGCAGCCGGAACCCCTGTGTGTCGCACGGCACCACAAGCAAATCGCACACAACAACAACACAAACACGTAGAACACGACAATAATAACACCACGCAAAGCACAATACAATTCACCGTAACACAAACACGTCACACACAATGACAACACAACACAATGCACAGCAACACAAACACATCGCACACAACGACAACAACAACACAAACACGATGAACAACGGCAATAACAACACCACACAAAGCACAACACAATGCACGGCAGCACAAACGCATCACACACAACGACAATAACACCGCACAATGCACAGCAACACAAACATATCGTACACAACGACAACACCGTACAACAACACAAACACACAATGACAACGACATCAACACAAACACATCGCGTACAACAACGACAACAACAACACAACACACAACAACACAAACAGACAAAGATCGTTAGCAGCCCCGCCGTTGGGCAGGGGCCTCCCACCCGCGTCTTCCACTCTTCACGATCTCTTTGCCACCTCCATCTCGGGCATTCCCCCAAACTGCATCTCATCCCACAATCTCATTTTCCATCTTTATTTTTCCTTCCAATCTTCAGCCTTAGTTCCTTTGGTAATGTTTCCCCATCTCTCATCCGATGTGCGAGCAATATCAGCCCCCCACTGGAAGCCCTGCGGCCACCTTGCGCCACTGATGACGCCGTCACTCGTCGTCACCGAGGTCGTCACTCTGGACATCTTTGTGAAAAAGAGCTTTGTAGCTCATCGGATTCTTCCAATAAAAATAATTCAGATTATGATTCTGAGTGTCGCGCGTCTTGAAGGCCGGATGCCTGACAGCTGCCATTGGAAAATGCATGCCGCTTAAATGATTATTTTAAAAAAATCTGTCTTCTAATTGATTTTTCTAAATCTCACACAAACCCTCCTATTATTTCCTTTTTAAAGATCTTATTATCTTGTTCAAGTAAAAAAAGATCAATGGTCATCTATTTGCATATTCTCCAGATTATAAGAGACAGTTTTTTTCTCCCCGTACTTTAAAACAACATTTCCAGGTGCATCTTATTATTCAGTTTTCGTGTGTGTGACCAATATAACTTTATTGACACTGGGCACATGTTTAGAGTGCATCGGACCTTGCGAGTCTTTTATAATGATGAGACTATGGTATACCTTCAATAGTGCTGTTTGTTTGCTCACCCCTTGGCATTTTGGGCCTGTGCTTAGCAACCACAATAATAACAACAAAATAAACAACGCATGTATATAGACATTGTGCATGCACGTGTGCTCGAATATACAGGGTGCTTAAAAAAATGTTTAACACGTCTGAGAATTTGCAACAATGCCACAAGAAATGTGCCTCCAGGCTCTGAAGACCACCTGGAGATGATTCCAGGCATGTGTTGACAATGATTGCGAACAAGTGGAGACTTTCACATTTTTAAGCTATTAACATTACATTTTGGTATCATGTTACAGTACCTTATCCGTTATTGTTTCATTAAAAACGATAGTCCCATTTAAGTGTTAACGTTTTTTGGAAGCGGCCCGTACTCGAGGCCAGCGGTACTCCACGCCAGCGGTTCCCAACCCTCTTTCCCAACCTCCAAATATTTAGCGGAACACCACACGCTGCAACCACTAGTTATTTGAAATTGTGCATTTCCTCGGTGAGGATGTTATTATTTATCTTTTTTTCCACGGGACCCCCACCCCACCATAGTAGCCTCGCGGACCACAGGTTGGGAACCACTGCTCGAGTTTAAAAATCCATCCATGGTCCTGCCCCACCCTCGTCTTGCTTCTCTCGTCTCTTACTCCTCTGTTACATCCTATCCTCTATGCTCCCAGTCTCTGCGGTCCCTCTCCGTGCCGCCCTCACCATCCTGCACCCAGCCTCGCTCTCTCGTTCCTTGTCCCTTCTGGCTCCCCTTCACTGGGAACAAACTCCCACTGCATGCGGAACAATCATCGTTGCCAGAACAACCAGCTGCCGCTCCTCCCTTAAATCCCATCTCTTCTCCCCAGTCCAATCTACTACTGCTGCTGCTACTAAACTAACCTAAAATTAAATTAAACCATTATTTTACCAGGTGAGGCCCACAGAGCTATGTAGTGCTTTTTCATTAGTGGCTAATCACATGGGCATTTATTGCAGCCAAATGCTTTAAAAGCATATTGATTCTAAACGTGAAGGACCCGGAGACAAATCCTCGCGACCACAGGAAGAACATGCAAACTCCAAATATACAGCAGGCGTCAGGGTCAGTATGAAATCCACTACCTTCTCTACACCAGGTAAGGTAGTTAAAATCTTGCCACCGTGGCGCCTCCCTGTCCCCCACCCCCCAGCTACTACCAGACCTACCCCAACCCCCCCCCCCCTTAACCTCTCCCGCCTGTCCTCCTAACCGTCACCTAAACTACACCACCACTTTCTAAATCGCAACAACCACCATCATCTCCCGTGTAATCGGAGGACAGTTCACCATCACGCCAAACCTTGCGGTCGGGCGCCGGCACGAAGCTCATGAACTCGTCGACGTGGCCCACGCTGAGCCAGTCGCTGTAGAGCTCAACGGGCGCCTGCACCTGCTGCGCGAACAGGAACTCGCGCACGGCGCGGGCCATTTTGCGCCCCGCGCGCTCTCTGCAGGGACGGGACCACATACGAGACAAGCGGGGCGCGGCGGGTCAGGGCGGGTCGGGATGTCACACCTGGGCGACAACGGCGGGCGACGGAGTCAGGGGGATAAGGGGACAGGAGGTGGAGAGGGAATGCGGTGAATGGGACGATCCTGCGAACGAGGGACCCATTTGAGCTCGAGGTGGTGCGTGGCACGTGCCTGTAGTCCCGCCACTCTTAGAGTGATTGGTGCAGCGGCGGCGTGGTTGGCTTGGGCCCTGGTGAAAATAATTAATTGGGCCCCCCCATCCCTCCATCTTCAATTTTCCCCCACTTTGTATCATAAATCGTTACATCTCAATTATGAAGCTGTTTCATGACCGTTCCCCTCTTGTCTGTGTGTGTGTGCGAGCTGCTTAATGAGCTCATTCTTTACGTTTTCTGGCTTTCTGCCGAGTTCGGTTATGATTCGGAATCATACTATACAGTGTTGTTATGTTAAGGTTTGGTATTGAGCGGTATGCCATGTTAATTTAAAAAATATCGCACGATATGCTGCTAGGTGTGTACAAGTTGTTCATATGCTAGTGGTCACATGGCTATATATTTTTTTTGCTCTCAGGAAGCCACTAGAGTTATGCCCTTTCAAATCGAAATTGAAAAAACATTCTTTAAAACTGATTTTTGTACTTAGTTGATCCTGCAATCTCAAATGTAAATGATCTATAAACCTGAAAAGTTTGCATCTGAACTTCAATCTTTGATTAGTTTGTTGTCCTTCCCCCACACCTCCGATTAGCACGGCTGGCTAACGTACGGTGCGAAAGAAATTAAATGTGCACACCTATATACAACACCTGGACTCCTCTGGCTTATCGGCAGTGCCTTCCCTGTGACGGCACCAGAGAAGGTGTCGGTCCAGCGATGTTGGTAAATTGTCACGATTCAGCATCGTGACCAAACTCGCCCGTTTTTTGTGTAGATGGTACCTCGTTTGTATTTTCTCATTTATTTCTCTGTCTCATTTGTTGCAGTTTTTTCTTGACGATGGGTGTTTGAGGAATCGCCGATTCCAATACAATTGTTGCATTCAACGGCGAGCGCACGTCCAAATGTGCTTTCATGTGAATTCCAGTCTTGCGCAAGAGCAATTTTCGATGTCCACTCGCCACGACGAGAGTGCTTCGGGAGGAGGCAGCTTTGTCATTGTCTCCCATTGAAGAGGGCGAGGGCTACAGTGGTCCACTATATACTTGAACTAATTAAGGTTTGTGCAAATGAGAAAGCTATTTTTACAAGTGGGCTAATGGGGGGGGGGGAGGGGGGTGAAGATAACCGTACAAATGAGATAGAATAAACGTGAAAAAAATTAAGCCCAAATGAAGTGGAAGTGGAGGGGGTGGAGCTGGGGTGAGGAGGTGCATTGCGAGATGAACCAGCCAACCCGAGTTTGAATCCCGGCCATGTTCAACATCGGTTAAAGAGCGTTAACCTGAACCGGGCCTGGCCCATTCCCACTCACCAAACGTGAAGGATGGTGGAAACAACCCCCTGTGATTGACATTGGTGTGGAATGGCCTTAATGCGGAAGATTTTTTTTTAATGCAGCAAGGCAGTCGATTTCTTCCTTACTTTCTGAAAACATGACGAAAAATAATGACTGAAGAAGAATCGGCTCTTGAATCAAATCGCGACCGCCGACTGAATATTCATCGAGTTATTGAAGAGGTTCGGGGGGAGAGGGGGGGAGGTGAATCATTCCATGCGGCGACCCCCAGAATGAGAGAGGGAGTGAGACACCCAGCAGACTCACCCGGGGAAGGCGCTGCCGATGATGATGCGCCCGAGTGGATATTTCTTGCCCCTCACGATGACGGGGGGCGACACCTCAAGGTTTCCGAACGAGTCCAGGCTGTTCACCCATTCGCCTCTCCGTGTCTTCCGCGTCACATAGCCAAAGTCCTTGCCCTGAGACGCCGGCCAGGGCAGAGAAACACCATGGTGGCGAGATATTAACTACCTCGCCTGGTATGCTGGAGGTCAGCTTTTGAGACTGTCGAGAAGTTCTTACCGGGGTCCCCGACTCGGTGGTGCCTCGGCTGGGAGGCTTCCCCCCCTTGCTCTCCAAAAACCCTTGCAGAATTATGATGTTTGGTCCAAAGTCCTTCGTTTTTAGTTTCGATCATTCATTTAAGACCATTTTGCTTTGATAAATTATCCACGTGATAAGCCACTTCGTTGAGCTATAATTTGTGGCCAGGTCGCTTCCGAAAAAGAGTCATATAGCTCAGTGGGCCTTACCTGGTAAAATAAAATAAAAATGTTGGTTTTAGTTTTAAAACATGAAAGGCTCACAGACTGAAGGGCTGTAATCTGTTGGAATTTTACACGTTGAAACAGACCATGGTTCATTTACATTATTACCCACAACTAGTGACATAGGTGCATAATAAATTGAGTACAGTCTCTGAAAAGTTCACGATTTGAAAAAGAGCTATAATTGCTCAGTAAGTCTTACCCCAGTACAATAAAAAAGGTTTATTTTTTAGGAACGCAGTGAACATGACTCTCGCCATGTCCAATTGCCTCCACGGACTCATCCCTGCATGCCCCGTCTCACTCCATCCTCTCTCATCATCCCCTCGGTTCCCCTCCACGCCCCCTCCTGCTGCTCCCCTCTCATCTCACTCTACTCTCCTCCGCACGACCTTCCCATTGCTCCCTTTCTTTTTGTCCTCACCATACTCCCCCCTGTGTATAGGAGGATACGATGCATTTCGTGGGTAACAAGCAATTCCTGTGAATGGGTTACTGGATGATGTATACAGTAGTCCCTCGTTAACACTGACATCGATTAAGTATACCTATCAACCTGTTATCAGTGCCTACCTTATTTCAGACCAATTCAGACAGTATTGGTCACCCCGTGCCCTTATAAAGGGCGAAACACAAACAAATAGAAACAAAATTTTGCCCGCATGGAAACGGCTGTACGCCGTATGGACCTGAAAACTTAATTTCCCTGTACAAGAATACGGGTAAACCGTATGGGTTGACAGGTATGTTTAATGTTTTTTAATCGGTTCACGTTTCACCTCCTATAGGACCCCTATGGTTCCGACTGACGTTAACATGTTGATTGATGGTAATGTTTACGTTCTGCACCCCGCGTGCAGAACGTAAACATTACATGACTGGTACCGTCTTCCTGTTTCAGGAGAAACCCAATTTTCTGATATACCATGATAAGTCCACCCGTTCGCCCAACTTAACGCCATTCGATTTTTTTTTATCTCTGCGATTTTTGAAATAAAGTCTACAACTAGCAAACCAAGCGACCTTGAAGAGCTTAAACATGTTACTGTTGTTGATGTTGCTGTGTCATCATCCATCCCCTACAGCTGTGTTGGAAAATGTTTTCTCAGGGTTTGAACACTGAATTAGTTTGATTATAGTGAATTATTGATCATAGTAAATGATGGACGACGTGGAAGTTTATTAATAATCCGATAATATCTAATCAATACCATAACATTTTGAATAAACTAAAAACTCCTAAGCCATATTAAATTAATGTCAGTACCTCGAATAACAATAAAACTACTCAACATTATTTTTGGTCTATTATTTTTCGGACACCCTGTATGCTTTTTAATCCGCGATTCGCGAGGCAGTGTGCATCGCTTTCTGCCATGGAAGCGTAGCCAGCAAGGGCTGGGTGGGGTCGACGCGGTTACCGTTAGAAGGATCGGCACGGCCTTAAGTTCGTGGTCCCGCGGGGAGTCGAACACGACCGGTATGACCTTGGTGGGACACTCGCAGTAGCCAAACTCCATCTCGTCCTGCGCGTGAACAAAGAGAAACGTCAATTACCCCACCCCCACGAAACCTCGCTGAGTGAATGGAGCAGCGTTGGTAGCGAGTGAATCCACCGGCGGATTAAGGCCTCCCAACGTCGCACTAAGACGTTTGGTTTGTTTGACCATACTTCACCGTGCAGGTGGAGTGCAGGCTGAAGGGTGGGCCCTAGGACCAGTTCGGATATCACTCACCACTGATGTTAGCTGTCATCAGGAAATCGAACTTGGGTCGCCGGGTTCATAACCCAGTGCTCTCACCACTGCACCACTGCACCACTGCTCCATCAGAACTAAAGCATTATGAGATGCTAATCATCTTCGACAGATGAGCTCACCCTGTGTGCTTACCACTATGAATGAGAATTGAACTCAGGTCACTGGGTTAGTAGCACAGCACGCTAACCGCTACTCTACGGCTCCCCACACACCTCAGTACTCTCTCTTACACACTGACACTCACCTGCATCCACACGTCCATATTGACCTGTATTTCAATTGGCGTGCACCCGGCCAGGTGAGCGAGGGTGGTCATCTGCTTTATGAACACCGCATTCGAGTCGACCCTGGGGTGACAAAGACAAAGTTCCCCCGTATAGCCTTAACAGACTGTAGGGGCAAGTGCTGTTAGCGAGCACCGATGAAGGCCGGCACAGCACACGAGGGGGTGGGTGGCCAGCACTACACCAACACACACTCTTCCACACACCTTTGTCTCCCTAGTGGTGACGTTTACACATTGCACCAGCTACTCCTTTGAGGCATAGTCGACCTAGGGGAGGTCCAGGACCGGTAAAAATATTCGCTATCACTGGTGTTGGCTGTGAACGGGAATCGAACCTGGGTTGCCGGGTTTGTAGCACAGCGCACTAAACTGCTACACTTCCACTCCCTACTAACCCTGAGGTGAGCACACAACCACGCAAACACACAACCACGCAACCACAGAACCATGCAACCGCTCACCATGCAGAGAGGATACACCACGCATCACACGCCACCGCATCTAGGCCCGGTTTAATTTATTTTTGGGATTAACATAAAAATCGGGAACGTATCCCTACTCCCCAGATACCTTGACATGAAGACCTCCAGCGCCGGCTGGGTATTTGGAGTCATGATCCACGGAGCCACACGAAAAACCACGCTGTCGGTGAAAATCGGTGTGCTCTGTTTGCCCTGGCAAAAGCGAGAAAATAATAATACTATAGCGTCACAAAACAACCTAACCCATAATGTTCATAATGATGGTTTTGGGTTAGATCGCATAACAATAAATGTGTTGTAACCCTCCACCACCCGACACAGCCAATTGGTAAGGGATGTGTCATGTAAACAAACGCCAATTAGTTCCAACTTCAGCCCACCGGTGTGTTGGAGAGTAAATCCACAACATTTACAATTTGATTATGACGTTTCACTGGTAATTACATCCAGCATCATGCGCCATTTGCCAGAATAGCCTATCCCACTTCACTTCCCATAGATGGATCACTGATGTCAAGATGTGTCCAGACACCTGGATAGAAAATAAATCGCAACGTTCGATGGGCAGACAAAAAGCCGACTGCTGCAAGGATGACCGGAGTCTGCGTGATGGTTTATGCTCCTCGACAAGAAAGATGGATGCACGGGGATAGATGCTGCCCGGTTGCTGCTGCTGGTTCTGCTGCCCACTCACCGGCAGGATGCTCTGGAGGAGGCTGAGGTGGAAGAGAACAAATCCGTTGAAGTCGCCGTCCGGGAAGCTTAGCCCCTCCACGAAGAGTTTAACCTCTCCGCCACGACCCGGGTACTCGAACAAGTAGCTCGACTTGCCCGGCCCCAGCGAATGGCTCTCCGTGCCTATCACCTTGCTCAGATCTCAACACCACCGAGGCACCGACAACGTGTCAACCAGCGAGTGTCCTTCACTTGACATATCCCCCGTCACGTTTACAAGCTTGTGATGGTTGTCCGATCTCAGAATCAAGAGTAGGATTCAGACTGGAGAGTGAATTAAAACCTTTTCTATCTGCGAGGATTACGTTGTTGAAAATGCTCGCGAATGCAGAAAAACCTTTGCTCCAGTGGGGGAAAAGTGGGGTGAAGTTCCTGGAACGAGTGAACATAGGGAGGAAATGGTAAGTGTTAAATAACTATGAATACAATAAATAAATAACATTCAGAAGTACGACGTTTTTTTAATTTCCTTTCATAATGATGATGATTTGACAATGATAGAGGTGGTGGTGGTGGTGGTGATCTCCTCGGGAGATACAGGGGTTTGATAACAACGCAGCACAGCTGTTATCAGTTCAGCACTGGGGAGCGCAAGCCGCAACACTCTCCCTGATTGCATTCGCGTTCTTTTTAATGGACCAGACAGTCGACTCGTTTATACATTTGGTATAAGTACGTATATGAAGTAAAAAAATCCACAAGAGTGAGTTTAGAGCGGGATTACTGCAAGACGTGAGGACTATGTGGGCAGCCGAGAGGGCATACCTGATCTTTGCAGACAGTTTCAAATGTAGTAACATTCTGTGCTCACCTCCCTAGTGTCGATGGTCTGTAGGCACTACGCACACTCGCGAATACTGAGTCTGGCGGGTCGCGAAGAGGGAAAAATGGATACATTTAGAAACTCGCGAATATGCGAAACTTGCAAATCCAGAACTCGCGCTTAGTGAGGATTTCTTGTATTTGGATTGAGGACTGCCTCAGGATACCAGCTACCATAGGCTTGAGATGCCAGGTAACCAGGAGATAGCAACGCAGCTACAGAATGTATGAAGTGAAGTCGTGAGTCGTAAGGAATGAACTGGCGGACCGTATCTCTCTTTAAATACACCTTGATGCTAAATGCAGAGGGAAAAAAAACCGGAGGACCCGGAGAAAAATCGACGCAGCCACGGGAAGAGAGACATGCAAACTCCAAATATAGAGAAGTCAGGGTCGGGATCTTACCCACGAACTCCTGTATACCCAGCGAGGTTGTTAACATCTCCTAGCCACCGTGCAAAGTGATTATAGACAGGCGTCAGGGTTGGGTTTGAGCCCACGACCTCCTGTATCCTGTATACCAGATGAAGTAGTTAACATCTCTTAGCCACTGTGGCGCAGTGCTCCGTTGGGTCGATGGGCCTCTCACCAGGTACGTGGAAGACGCCGGCGTGCTGCGACTCGAGGGTGTGCAGCTGGAGGCTGTAGCCGGGCGGCAGCTTGGCGGGACCTCGGGTACGAACCAGCATGGGCGACATGTCCTGCAGGTCTGTCGGGGGATGGTCACATGCGGCGGCATAGCGATCATCACCCATCAGCTCATTAGTGACACAGTGATTATCACCCGTCAGCTCAGTGACACGGTGATCATCACCCGTCAACTCATTAGTGACACAGCGATCATCACCCGTCAGCCCATTAATAACACGGCGATCATAACCCGTCAGCTCTTTCTGAAGCCAGCATCGCAGCTTCACTCGATCTCATTCCCTCTTCTCATTCCTCTCTTTCTCCACTGCATCTACCCAACCTCCTTCCTGGTCTTCCCTCCTCCCAGTTTCCCTCCACTTTTGTGGGCACCGCAACATGGCTCCCGCGACGCTTCGTCGACACCCAAGGCCTCTCGCCCCTCTAGGGGGAGCCCTTCTAAAGCAGTGGTTCTCATACCGGGGGGTACTCGGGGGTACAAGCAGTGCCAGATTAAGCTAGTGCGGGGCCTGTAGCATATGTTATAAAGGGGCCCTAAATATGAAAACACAATATTTTTACTTGCATAGTAAAGTCATTGTATTTTTTAGTTTGCTATACAGCCAAATACGACAAATCGCTAACCTTTAAACACCCAGTCATTCATAAAAGTTGAAGTCGGTATAGTACTATAATAATAGAGAATCACTGAATTGGAATTGATAGCTTCAAAGCATTTAGCGCGGGGCCCTTGAAAGTGCGGGGCCCGTAGCTAATGCACGTGTAGCTACTGCACGTGTAGCTACTGCACGTGTAGCTACTGCACGTGTAGCTACTGCACGTGTAGCTACTGCACGTGTAGCTACTGCACGTGTAGCTACTGCACGTGTAGCTACTGCACGTGTAGCTACTGCACGTGTAGCTACTGCACGTGTAGCTACTGCACGTGTAGTAGCTACTGCACGTGTAGTAGCTACTGCACGTGTAGGGGGTACCTGAGGTGATTTATCAATGAGAGTCATTTTGTAAATAATCTTAGATGAGTCTGCCAATATAAAATAACCAAGATGAAATTTATATCCATATGGTAACCCAAAACGATATGAAAGACCTTTCTAAACTCACCGATCGTAAACAATGTGGGTTTCCAAGATAACCAGCGAGCGCGAACAAATTACCTCGCGCGTTGCACAGCGTCCATTTAATTATCTTCTTTTATGCACTTGCAGTTACTAGCTAGTTAGGATACCTCACGAAATGAACAACTGGTTCAAATATTGATGTCCATTATTCATACATTTATTTCTCAGAACCATGTTTAGTCGGGCAAGGAGCTTGTGCTCGTATGAAACAAAATTCAACAAGGGGGTCACAGAAGTCGCCAATCGAAGGTTGAGAACCACTGATCTAGAGGGCGTTTACGCATGTCACACGTCACACATTTTTTGTGCATTTGTATTATTAAAGAATAAAAACGCTCAGCAAGTCGTCAATGAGGAGCACGGAGAAAGCGAAGCGGCGTGAGGTGGAGATTGGAGTTTGCATGTCTCTCTCTCTCTCTCCCCGTGGTCGCCTGTGGATTTTTTTCCGGATCCTCCGGTTTTTCCCTCAAACATTTTAAATCAACGTCACGCGTTTAGAGTATTTGGCTGCTGTAAATGTCCACGTGATGACAAGCCACCTTCGTCGAGCCGTCATTTGTGAATGCCAGGTCGCTTCTGAAAAAGAAGTTATATACAGCTCAGTGGGGCCTTGCTTGTTAAAATAAAAATTCGTTTAGTTTATCAATTTTTAGTTCATGGAGTGGCGACCGCGCACCTGCTGCCCCCTGTAGGTAGCGGTCCTCGTTGTCGGGTTTTGGGGTGGAGTCCGTCTCCTTGTCGCAGTTCACCAGAAGAATGGCGCCATGCCCGTTGGGTCCCCACTTCCACGTCGCCTTCACGCGCCACAGAGAAAAAGACAAAGATCCCCCCCATGTAGCCTTAACAATACTATCAAGGCAAGCGCTGTTGTTGCGTGCAGCACCTGTGAAGGGCCGGCACGACACATGAGGGGGTGGGTGGCCAGCATCATGCCCCAGCCGCATTTGTCTTGCCCAGTGGTGATGTTTACGCGCCGCACCGGGTACTTATTTGAAGCCGAGTCGACCTTGGGGAGGTCCAGGACCAGTTCAGACTGGTGTTGGTGGCAGTCACAGTGGGTTCAAAGAACAGCGCTCTAACCATTACACTACCGCTCAGGACCACAGAGATAGAGATCCCCCATATAGCCTTAAACAGATTGTTGGGGCAAGTACTTTTCCCGAGTAGCACCTATAAAGACTGTAACGGCACACAAGGGGGTGGATGGCCAGCACCACACACCGGCTGCCTTTGTTGCCCCCAGTGGCAATGTTTACTACATGCCACACCAGGTACCCATTTGAGGCTGAGTCGACCTAGGGGAGGCCCAGGATCGGTTCAGATAATTGTCACCGGCATTGGTGGCCGTGAGCAAGAATAAAATCCGTGTAGCCGGGTTCGTTGCGAGGCATAGCGCAAAACCGTTACTGCACCACCGCCCAGCACCACGGGCACAGAGCGACAACCGTCGAAGCTTCTACAACGCCCCCCCACACCGCCACCCTCCAGTGAGCGAAGACTGCGGCCACGCTCTGGGGATGACGACACGGGCTGAGCACTCGCGCCTTTGCCGCTTGTTGCAGACGAGCGCGGTTCGAGCCCAGGGGCCGCCCTGGATGACGCCGCGGGGTGTATCAACCAGAGACAAAATGGGCCGTCTGCTTCACAGTGGTGGACATTCGAGATCCCGTGACGTGATTCGAAACGGAGTGGACCACGTGTGCCGGCGTCACGGTCCAAACTTACCAATTAAAATTACTCGTAAATGACCTATGAACTATAAAACTATACAAAAAAGGTGTATTTATACTGGAGGAATCCGATGAGCTAACAAACAATAGGAAAACACGATAGGAGTGTAAAGTAAAAAAACATACCAATAAGTATTTTTTTTTTATCTTACCAGGTAAAACTTACCGAGGTATTTACTTATTTTTCAGATGCAACCTGGCCACAAATGGTAGCTCAACGCAGTGGCTTATCGTGTGGAAATTTATAGCAGCAAAATACTCCAAACACAAGTCGATTATAAATGTGGAGGGAGAAAGCAGAGTGAGAAAGACGCAAACTCCAAATATACAGCAGGCGTCAGGGTCGGGATCGAACCCACGACCTCCTGTATACCAGGCAAAGGAGTTAGCATCTCGCCACCGATGACGGGGGCAGAAGAGGATAGTGTGCGGCCGTCCACCTAGCTGGGCTTTGACAGAAAACCACGAGCATGTGAGAGGGAGTGGACAGGGTGAGATGAAACGAGAAGGGAGTAGGCAGGAGTGAGCCCTTGCAGAGAAACAGAGGTGACCTCTATTTTTTTATATTGTTAACAACCCTGCCAAGCCCTTCCCGACCCCCCGCCCCGAGTTGCCAGAGCATGCTCTCTGGACAGAAGCTCCCTTCTTCCTCACTCTGCTGTCCGGATCTGGAACTGCCTCCCTGATTAACACATTGTCGGCAAAGTCACCAATTCCGGTCTTCAGGCCTTCAAATGCCGAGCACAGACACATGGGAAATTTTCTAATGTCACCACACGCCTTGTAGGGACTGAATCTTTGAGCTGTAGTGAACCAATGATAATGGCAATTAGATGTACTAATGTTTAACATGTAGGCTTTCACGACCAACATCATCCATAATACAGGTGTTTTTTGGGTTCGTGGCGGTGGCGGCTTTAACGACATTCATATCTTTATTGTAACTGTAAAAAACCTGCATTATAGATGTACTAATGTCTGATATGGCGATCGTTCACAATTGCACCCAATGCAACAAAAAACAGATTAACGCGAGCCCCATACAAAGCGCTGATCACCAAAATGCAGTTGGGAGGGGGGGGGTAGAACAGAAATTCTGCAAACAGCAGCCCCGAGTTTTCGGCGCGACAGGGGCCTAGCGAAGTGCGGAAAAAACTGGGCACACTACCCCACAGGTGGGGAACGCCCGCGGGGGGAGGGGGGGGACATTATTGTTTATACGGGGAGGGGAAGAGGGTAATGGGGAAAGATAGGGACGAGGAGGGGATAGGAGGGGAAGGGGGTTGGGGAGGGGGGTGATCTCTTTACGTTTATTCAGGACAGAGGGTGTGCCAGTGAAGGGATCGGAGTATGAAGGGTAACGTTGGTCTCTTTCTGTGTGCAGAGTCCTGGCATTTCGGATCATCGTCATTCTCCCCATCTGGGGAAGGCGAAAGGTGGTTGAGGAGGCTACAGAGGACAATGGATGAGTGTGCTCTGCAGCAGCCAGGCAGAGGGAGCGGCGATGCAGGAGATGCGCAGACAAGAGGGAGGAGGTGTGACACAGGGTGGAGGTACGTGGGGAGAAGAAAAATACAGGGGGCTCAGGATCAACGACGATGACTCGGAGGTTAAGCGCACACACTCCTTGCCAGGCGCTTTACCTTGTTAGGGTGGTTTTGCTCTACGATGCCATCTCGATCAGAGTCCACATCCAGGGAGAGGCCTGTAATCGAACAACAACAACAACAGCATCGTCACCATCGCACGGCCAAAGCTTAAATATCTCACTTTCGAGTCCAGGTCAACGAACTTCCTCTGTTCCTCTTTTCCTCTCTATTAAATATAAGGGAATAATTCTGTCCATGTCCGTCCCAAACTATATTGAATTGTTATGCCTTGACCACACCTTTTTGATGTAAACAATGAACTTCAGTCAAATGTCCTTAAAGTAATGATGTGTTTTATTTGATATTTTAAAAATATTGTAAACTACATTATTCCTATGCTAATTATACTATGACGGTCACACAGTGCATCTGAATTACAAAAGCACTACTTACTAAGCACTGTAACGTTGCAGGAACAATTATTAACTTTAAGTGGCACTAAAAGTTGAAACCTGTTTAGTTCTTACTGGCTTAACCAACTCGCCTGGTATACAGGAGGTCGTGGGTTTGACCCCGACCCTGATGCCTGCTGTATATTTTGAGTGTGCGTGTTCTCCCTGTGGTTCCATGGAATTTTCTCCGGGTCCTCCGGTTTTTCCTTCCACATTTAGAATCAACGTCACACGTCTAGAGTATTTTGGCTGCTTTACATTTCCACATGATGGAAAGCCACTTCGTTGAGCTACCATTTGTGGCCAGGTCATTTCTGAAAAAAAGCAATATAGCACAATGGGCCTTTCCTGGTAAAATAACATAAAAAGTTTAGTTTCAGTTTAAAACACAAAAGGCTCTCAGACTGACAGAGCATATTGTGTTGGTATTTTACGCGTTGAAACAGACCATGGTTTATTTACTTCATATTCCACAACTAGTGACGTAGGTGCATTCATAAATTGAGTACAATCTCTGAAGTTCACGATTTGTTTAAACCACCTTCAACCACGATCAGACGCCTAATTAACTCCTGTGGACAGACACATGAATGCTTTGTGAACATTGCATGATGTCAATCACACCTCATCTAATTTTATATTTATAGAGAGCACCTTCACTCAAGGCACTTGACAGAGCTTACAACTGAGAGACAGAATATCATGATTGAGATGGCAGGGGCGTGCACGAGTTGAGGAATGAGTGACCACAAAAGAGGAGAACGTAGGTATCACAGACGTGTGGGGATAGGAATGGGAAGAAGTGGAGGGGCGAGGGGCGGGATGAAGAAGAGAACAGGCAACAGAGGAGAGATGAGCTTGAAAAGATTCAACGCTTCAAAACCTTCGCGTGCATCTCCTCATCAAGAAAACCAATGTTTCAAAAGAAAGACATCTGTTTGAGTTACACAGCTGTTGTTCACATTCTTCCACTTAACCAAAAGTTAATTAAAATACAGGAATAAGGGATCTTTGGACAACCAGATGAATTGCAAATTGGCTTCAAAGCAGAGATAACAGGAATAATGGCAAATAAAGTAGCGTATATGAGGCAGTTCATTGTATGCTATTGTTTGAGCTGGAACGGGCAGCCGATTAAGTCAATTAATTGATGAAAAATTGTAACCAACGATTATGTTTTGGTACTTGATTACTCAGGCCCATTTAAAATGGTGACTGTTCCCCCATCCTTAAGGGAGAAAACCATCCCCACAAGCCATGGCCAGCGTGACATTGCCGACTTTTCTTGAGTCACCACGCCCCACCCATTACCTTCTGTTCAGTATCAACGTGTGGAAAACAGACGTGAGAATGATTATTTTAACATAAACTATTTTTGTCTTATCCAAATGGCACAGAATTTGCTAGAATAATCGATTGCTAAGGTAATTGGATAACGCCACTCTAGATACTACATGCTCAATGCCCCCCCCCCCCCGTCGCCATTTCATTACGGTGTGACATCACAGGAAGTGACGTCACAGTTCTGTCATTACCCGATATCGCCGAAAAGCTCTGGGTGACTATCAGAGTGAATCCGGGATTGAATGGAAAGAAACACCACTGTATGACTCTACTTTATTAGTTATTAAGATGAGGAGCTCATGTTAGTTGGCTTGCGTGTCAAGAATAATGTTTTAGGCTTTGGGTTTAGAATTCCACATATTAGATAGGGGCTCATATCATGGTTGGTGTTGGGTGTTATTGTTATTGAATCATATTTTCGCGTTCCGTAGGTCCTGAATTTTGATTTTTTTAAAAGTATCACGCTCGTTGTCACTCGCACAAGGACACAACGCAGAAGTGACGACACTCAGCGACCACATCTCACCAATGGCCGTCAGGTAAACTCGAGCTTTGGCCAGGGCAACGTCAGCCTTTTCTCCGTAAAAGGTCACGGACATCTGCAATCAAAACCCAAAGAGGATGAGTACCCCGCGCGGTGTGGGGGGGGGGGGGTAGTTGAGACCTGAATTAACAAAACCCTCATCTCTGGTGTAGGCCACTCTGTTTCAAAGACAATGTATATATTATCAGAGCATGTTTGTTTGCAAGTATGTGTGGTTAATGCAGACTTGATTCCTTGAAATAGGTATCTATTTGGTGTTTGAACATCTTAACACCTGTTCTATTGCCATCACATATAATTATTCCATTGTATTTCTGATATGTTGAATAAATAGCATCCATCCTTCTTCTGAATACTCATTTTGCCTGGGCATATCCCGTGAATGCAATCGTGATGATTGCGGCAGTGGCCGGTGGTAGGAGTGTTGGTTCTAATGGTCCTGTGCACTTGGACGGATGAGAGCGGTGTGGCAGGGATATCAATGTCGGTCACGGTGGAGAGTAAATGGATCCAGTGGCAGATACAGTGGTGGTGTTGTTGCTCGTGGTAGTGATTAAGTGCCCTCACTGTAGTGGCAGATGAATCAGTATTAATGGTTATAAAGGGTAGTGGTGGACGAATTTAGACAAAGATTCCCCATATAGCCTTTAACAGACTATTGGGGCAAGTGCTATTGACGAGCACCTATGAAGGTCGGCAAGGCAAAGACGGGGTGGGTGGTAACACCACGCTTGGCCGCCTTTGTCTCCTCAGTGGCAATGTTTTTATACACTGCATCAGGTAATCATTTGAGGCTGAGTCGGCCTCGGGGAGGTCCAGGACCGGTTGAGATCATTAATCGTCATGGGTGTTGGCCGTGAGCGAGAATCGAACTCAGGTCGCCGGGTTCGTAGCGTGGTGCGTTAACTACTGCGCCACAGACCCAGGTGCCATGAGTTGACCGACTGAGATGACTGGCAAATGCACCAGCCGTGCCCCCATAATGTGCACGCACACGCACACAAACGCGCACATGCACGCATGCACACGCAGCGTAATGCTCTCACCTTCTTGTCACCAACCTCCTGGCTGGGCGTGAGCACCTGAGCGTGCACCTGGGTCCCCACGGCCACGCGGCCGCGTGCGTCGTTGGCCGCCGACCTGAACGGCGTGCTCACCCAGCACGTGACGTCCACGCTGGCACTCACAGAGAAGCTCTCTGCCCCCGGCGGTGCCACACTAGGAATGGGCAAGGGGGGGGGGGTAGGGCAATTTGAATGTACAGCATCCCAAACGCGTTACTCCTTGGCATTAGTTTGAATGGTAAAATCCTAAACAAAATCTGCTGCATTGCCAAAATATGATACTGAGCTAAACAATTGTTTTATTTTACCATGTAAGGCCCCCCACTGAGCTATATATATAGCTCTTTTCTAGAAGGGACCTGGTCAGAAATGATAGCTCAATGAAGTGGCTTATCGTCACGTGGATATTTATAGCAGCCAGATACCGGATGGCCCTGAAAAAAAAACACACGACCACGGGGAGAGAGACACCACAAACTCTAAATATGCAGCAGGTGTCAGGGTCGGGATTGAACCCACGTCCTCCCGTATACTAGGCGAGGAAGTTAACATCTCGCCACTGTGGCGCCCGTATAAGCAAGAGTTCTCACGAAAAAAACATCCCCTGTACTGTTTTGAATACACATAGTCTATCAGAATTTTCAGAAATTAAATGTCCTACACACGGGTTGTCGTTTACACTCAAAATAGCCCCTACTGGATCAGTTGCAACAACATGGCAAATTGCGTTCAATTTATCTCTCGGATTGCATCGTCAGACATTACCTATCCACTGCTGGATGATGGCCTCACCGTCCCATCGTGGCACTGCATTGCCACAGTCCCTCCTGCACCAGCATGTGAGCTGATCTGCCACCACTGCCTTCTCCACGGGAGTTGTGAAACTCATTTTTGGCAGTATGTACACTCTATATAGGATGTCTTAGCACATTTAATGCAGCCGTTTGGGTGGCCACTTTATCTCAATTATAATTGATAATTATCAGTTCAGACACATGCAAAGCAGGTTTGTGTGACAGCCACCAACCATTGTTAAGTCAACATAACTCTGAGCTGCATTTAGAAACATGCGTTTAGAGTATTTGACTATGATACATTTCCACGTGATTGATACTTTGTTGATCTATTATTTGTGGTCAGGTCGCTTCTGAAAAAGAGCTATGCAGCTCAGTGGGTCTGATCTGGTAAAATAAAATAAAAATTAATAGTTAACTCTAGTGTGCCATGATGGTCTTCGTGAGGTGGTTACCAACAGCACTTGCCCCCCAACAAACTGGTAAAGGCTACAGAGGCCATATTTGTCTTTGTATATATGTGTATGCATGCATAGGTTGTGTGCACCTAAGGTTAGTACTTGTGGTTGACTGCCTAGTTGGTTATGGTTTAAGGCTAGGGCTCGCATTCGATCGGTCAATTTGTTCTGCTTGCAAACTGCTTACCCCCCATTTCCCCATTGCAACGTGTGACCTTTTTTTGTTTTTGGCAACGCTCTGTGACAGCAGCGTGAATCAGACACCAAAGTACCCCCCCACCCCAAGTCCCAGTCCATATTAATCAATGCTGCTTGTGCAGTGGGTCGTCCTTCCCCCGCACCTCTGATTAGCACGGTAGGCTACGTACGCCGCTAAAGAAGTTCAACATACAGTACATAAACATAGAACATAGCAATGAATGGGCCTCGGGAAACAACACCACTCTGCGTAGCTGTAGGGCAAAGCAATCGCATCTGGAGAGGGAGCCCTGGGCACCGAACCATAGGCACAGGTAAACTTGCACAGTTATTGAGTTGTGTCTCTTATGTGGTGACCAGTGCGTTTTGAACCTTTAGCCAAGGGCACTTCGTCGCCGACCCCTTCCTCACTGTTGCACACGCGCACGAGAGACACAAGATGATGAAACGAGCCACAAATCGTTTGGTTGTAAACTCCGCCGGCTGTTGGTGGTCACGTCTGAACCAGAATGTTCTCTGTGAGTCGCTACATCTGCAGCATGTACAATTCGTTGGGGATATGCGAATGATTGGAATAAGAGCAGATGGCCAAACGCCATGGGTTATAGGAAATGCATTTATGCAAAGTTGGTGCTGCCCTGCATTTAACTTTCCTCGCACAAGCATGTACTTTCTCCTGAACATCTGTGAAAAAAGAGCTTTATAGCTCATCGGATTCCTCCAGCATAATAAAGATTCCAATTCTGACCGCTGCTGGCGACAAAGAAAATTCCGGTTCAGAAGTGCCCACCGACAACCCAAACAAATCTGTGGTGCGGCCATTGATGGGCACTTCTGAACCAGAATGTTCTCTGCGAGTTGCTACATCTACAGCGTGTACAAATCACTGGGGATGTGCGGACGATTGGAATCATTGCAGATGGCCAAGCGCCATGGGTTATACCAGGGGGGGTTGGCAACCTGTGGCTCCGGAGTCGCATGTGGTGGCTCTTTGGCTTCCCCCTTGCGGGCGGCCGTAAAATAGACAGTAGGCCTTAAACTTAATTGAACGTAAAGATAATTTATTAAGTATGGCAGGGAATGGGTCACTTTAGAATATCTAGACGATGGCGAAATGTACAAAAGTCAAACTGTATTGTTAAAGTGTCATTAAGGGGGACAAAAACTAAATAGACGCAGTTTATTCCATCACCTATTTTGGTGAAGTCACAATGTGGTTGTCATCTGCCTGTATACCTGCTGCTGTGTTTGTGTGTAACAAGGAGCTCAGAGTGCGAACGGCTCTCGAACTATATTGGTCAAAGACAAAACAAAAATGTCTCTTCTTTTTTGAAAGTTGCCGAGCCCTGGTATATACGAATTGCGTTCGTGCAAAGTTGATGCTGCCCTGCATTCGCTTTACTCACACTGCATTTGATTTCTCCTGGATATCTGTGAAAAAAGAATGGTTTTTAGCTCATCGGATTACTCCAAGATAATAAAGTTTCTGATTCTGACCGCTGCTGACGACAGGACCTCTCCACTCGAGGGCACGTGGGCTTCTCTTCCACGATGGGCAGACATCTTGGAAGAGCACGGGAGTACCCACACTTTAGGGGCCGTCCATAATTTTGGATGATTTTAACCCCCCCCCCCTCGTCACACGGCGTCACAAAAAGTCAGACCCCTCCCTCAAATATGACGTCACAAAGCTCTGCCCCCCCCAAACCATATTTCCATTTTGAAAATAAAACATGCTTCAAATCTCTTTAAACTATTGACATTGTAGTGCGTATTTAATGTGGTGCTGCACTCTGATGTTGTAGGAGTGTTGTTATAACAAGTAGTGTTGTTATAACAATTCTATATTTATTTAAAGTTGCGCATTTTGATGTGACGTCACATTTCTCACCCCCCCCCCCTCGTCACACATCGTCACAAATGTCTGACCCCCCCCCCCTAAGTGCGTGACGTCATTCATGGACGGCCCCTTACCCAACCACACGTGACCTGCTGACAGACGGTGTTACACCCATTTATGCTGTTGAGTGGACAGAGGTGGGGGGGGTTGGTGGGGGGGGGGGGATTTAAGCGACTTTCAGCGTTGTTTCAACAGTACAACAAAATTCTACTTGGATTAACAAAGCGTATAAATGTGACCATGGCTCAAGGTGTTGTACAAGTATGGGGACGACATGCACATGTACAGAGCTTTTTTTTTGGGGGGGGGGGGGGGAGATAAAAAAAAAATGTTGGCAGGCAGAGGGGTTAAATTCCTCAGGTCACAAATGATCTTACAGTAGATGGTCAAATGAACACACTTTTTTGGGAGAGAGAGATATTCGTTTCGGCAAATGAGGAAGGCCTCTAGCCCTGACAAATCCGGGCAACGGTGACGGCGGTTTGGATGGAAAAAATAAAATAATTCCAAATCATGGGGGGCTCGTGTTGTTGCTCTGGAGACAAGGAGATCGATGATCATCGATATTCGGTCGCCTTGTTGATGGCACTCGTCGTGATTTCTCGCTCAACAGGGTGGGCCACGTGAAGGCTGCCACGGGGAGGCGGGGGGGCAGCAGCAGAGTAAACGAGTGCCCTCCCATTCCATGAAAGTTTATTTAGGGGTTCGGACAGAAAGCCCTCGTTTCTGGAGCAGAGAGCACTCGAGGGGGAGTAAAGTGGGCTAAGAGAGAGGGGCGAGGTAGGAAAGTCCACGGAGTATCTTAGAGGTATCGAGTGTGATGCCAGGAATCGATCCGAATTGAGGGTGATGTCGCGTTGTTTACAGGGTGTTGTGGATTAAGTTTGATGGAGTTTGTAGATTTAGCGACGTCATACGCCTCCGATTAGCACGGTTTGCCTTTCATGCGGTGTGAAAGAAGCTCGACATACATGTGTACGTACAACGAGAAGAGAGTTGCAGTAGTTAAGTTGAGAGGTGATGACGGTCTCAAGCAGCAGCAGCTATGGCGAGGAGATGGCAGGTGCCAGTGGAGGTATAAAGGTAAGACCTACTTTAAACGCGATACCTCACCGAATGTTACCCGTATCTTCCATAAATCATTTTTACGATCACATTTACATTCCTTGGTTATCAGTCACTGATTTGGCTGTGAATGTAAACATCCTAACAGCTGCAAAACACCTCTGAGTGCATAATTATGTGCAAATCTCATAGTATAAGCCTTTACTGGCTACATAAGCAAACAATAGATATCTTAAGATAATAGTACAGTACTCCCTTGGCTAACTGTTTCATCCGTTCCATGAAAACTACTGGCAATCGAAATAACTGTGCATTTAATTCACTTATAAGTTGAAAAATAAGTCTGCAAGAGAGACGTTTCCACGCCAAAACAGAAAACGTCATGTAAACAAAGCCAGTCGAGGTCTAAAAGCTCATAAATGGGCGTCGCTGATTGGCTGAGGTACGCTCTGCCCACTTACGAGCGCTCGGATTAGCCGAAATTGGCGCCCCGCGTGCATAACGTAAACGTTACCGTTAATCAAAATGTTAACATCAGTCAAAACCACGGGGTCCTATGGGAGACGAAATGTCAACCGATTAAAAAAAAAAGTTAACCGATGTCACCGTTAACTGAGGGACTACTGTATTAGATCAGGGACGCCAAAACACAGCCCCTGACAGAAACCTAGACGCCCCCCCCCCGCCACCGCCCTATCATAGACTGTCTGGAAGAGCCAAGGCCCACATATAGATTATC